CCCTACAGTTACTCAGATACATTTGCCATGCTTGCCTGGCCTCATCCTACAGTGCTGTTATGACCATCCCTCACATCTAATCTGATGCACCTCAATCCCTCATGTCATAATACCTTGACCAATGCCATGTTAGAATTGGTCCATTACACAGTCTAACGACTACAAGCATGAATGGAACCATCGCAGTTAAACTGGCCATGAAGAATGTCCTGGAGATACATGTATAAACTGATATGAACAGTTCCTGTGCTGGAGCCTCAACCTCAGTCATCTTGGATACTGCGACTGTAGATACGTACAAGGGAATGCCTTGCTCCTCAATCGTTCATTCATGAGGTATTGGTGCAGTGATTGGAATCACCTCATCTAGACAGTGAGATAATGCAAATGTTTTGCCTAATCCTCAGCTTATCTTCCAGGTATCATTAAGCTGCTCATCCATGACGTCTATCAAGTGATTGCGGTTAGGGTGTCTAAGGCCTTTTCCCAAGTATTTAAAATATCTTACACATCCGAGAGGTTATTAGACTCCACCCTGACACGACCTGGTCTACAGCTCTCCTGACATATGCATCGGCTGGCTTTATTACTGTCCTCAGTGCATACTACGACTACAGCTGCACAGTTGCATGGGTACCTCTCTGCAACAGACCAACCTGAACACGTGACAGTTCTGCCTACCATCGTCTATAACAAGACCATTCTGACATCAGATCCTTCATTTATCATACAAGCACTATCCTGGCGACTTCATGACATAGCTAACTGCTCAAGGCACAGCCAGTTTCACCTGTGGCTCGATTCAACCAGGACCTTAGTACTGGACAACGCATGTCGGCCATTGCGCCACCATAAGCCTACATACACAATACTTACAGCATGTCAAGGAGGTGTACTCATCCTAACTTATACGTTACTAATCCTGTTGTGCTTAATCCTTTTAGAATTATGAATCACAAGCATCTAGTGGTTTGGGTATCCTTCAGTTTAATACTGACTACATGCATTGCTGGCCCATCCCTCATCAAGTCAATAATGACATTTTAGGGCCAATCTGTTAAAACTAATTAGTTCGACCTATCCTCACAGTCTAATTACTACTTGTCATTTGGCTGACCTCATCCCTCAGTCTAATACTGACTACATGCCATGTTGCTGGCCTCATCCCTCAGTCTAATACTGACTACATGTCATGTTGCTGGCCTCATCCCTCACAGTCTAATACTGACTACATGTCATGTTGCTGACCTCATCCCTCACAGTCTAATATTGACTACATGTCATGTTGCTGACCTCATCCCTCACAGTCTAATACTGACTACATGTCATGTTACTGACCTCATCCCTCACACTCTAATACCGAATGGCACCCAATTCCCTTCATCGTGCACTACTTTTGACCAGAGCCGTAGGCACTATAAAGGAAATTGGGTTGCCATTTGAGACACACAGCCAGAGACAGCAATAAGGAGGAAATGGAGACCTGACAGGGCCAATGAAAAGAAGAGCCCTAGAGAATACATGTATAAAGCTGAGGATGAGTGGGCTTGAAGGAGGTTGCCTGCGAGGAGAGGACTCAACATGCTCTGCAGTGCAGTCTATGGGTACTGCTCTGACTGTCAAAGGTACAGTGCAAAGGAAGAAATACCTTGGCTTGCAGTCCAATCAAGGTTCATTCATTGAGGATTTGGAGCAAGCTGGATGTGTGAGATAGTCACTCTAGGAGGACAGTGGAAGTTGAATCGAAAATGTTTCTTTCTTATTGAATTCTGCATTTCATCCTTCTTCAGGGTGTTATAAAGCTGCATCAACTCTACTGTGTATCTGTCTATCCAGAGTGTTGGGGTTTTAGGGGTACTCTAAAATGTTTTTTAAAATGTAATTTAAAAAAGAACTCTTAACAATACCTGAGAGAGGTTAATTAAGATAGTCCATTGGTCACAACACCTGACCAACCAGCACCTGTTGGTCTACGGGGCTCTGCCCAGGATCAGTGTAAATCAAGGCCTGGAGGTTGTGATTTACTGGTCATTGATTCAGGCATCTCTAGCTGGCTGCCAGCAGTCTCATATGGTGGCTACCCTCTCATGGGCAAAGACCACCTGAAACCTGTGTGGACAACATCTGCCGAGACACTGGTCTCAGAACAGAGGACCTACCAGCTATCATGAACGACAGAGAGTCATGGCATGCCATCGTCCGGCACATTGCGCCACCATAAGCAAGTAACGATAAGCAACAATACCTGTCACTAGGGTTGCAAAGGAAGGGTATATTACTGGAAACTTTCAACGTTTACCAGTAAACTACCAGAATTTGTTTAACTTTTAAGAATTGTATGTCATTTATCACAAGACATCTAGTGGCATTTTGGGTACTTCAGATTATTACAGGTGTCTAATTATCTCTGGCCCACTGTGTGGCCTCATCACATGTAAAATATATGGAATAATTAAATAAGGTGACAAAGCAGTAAAACATTTTATTAAATATCAACCATAAAACTTAGTAAATACCATTGGTGTTTAATTTGAGGGTTTCAGCATAAAATATCCTTTATATATATTTTGCTACTATGTCAATATGTATTTGTTATCAATGTTTTGGAGTCAAACTGGTGGCAGTTGTGAAAAAAGTCAATAGTTGAAAGTGTTGCAGAGTTCATTGAAAATAATGTAATTGTTGATTAGATTATTTTTTCATTAGTTAGGCTATTTTCTCTTGAACCATATGGTCTATCCACTAGAAACTCATGGACAATACAGACACAGATTAAAAATATATATATATACTATATGAATACATTTTTTAAAAAGTATTCAAGTATAAATGACAAAAGTTAAAAATAAATTCTGTTAATTACCTAAATTACAGAAGATTCCAGTAACTTTGGTAAATTACTGGTAGCTTTACAAGCCTACCTGTGACATCTTCTAACCAAGTAACTTTTTTATGATACTGATACATACTGTAAATTGTGCAACAGAAAGCCTGCCCTGTACAGCAGTGTAAATAAAACCCTTCAACTGTATTTGCTCAAGCACTAGGTGTAAATAAAACTCTTCAACTGTTCTTGCTCAAGAGCTGTAACATTTATCAGCGTATGAAAGAACAGAATAACAGTAAACTTTCTCTTCCTGCAGTGTCATGATTTTTTATTATTTCATGTTAACGAAAACTTCTCATTACATAAATTGTACACAATTCATAGAAAAATGCTAAATGGAAAATTTTCAACAATTGAATTTGAACATATTCAAAAGTTTGATTTCTCTTTTGACAAAATAAATTAAATAAACCCTGACTTTCACTGAATTATGTCAATGAAGTGAGAGATCTCCAAACAACAAGGGGTCTAACATTCCATTGCACAATTCTGCATAGCAACATGAACATGATTGGCTCAGTTAAACAAGGTACATTTTTTAAAAAGTGATACATACAACAGATTGTCTTCTAATTTCACTAAGAGCGCAAAAGGTTATTTTGCCATAAATAAGCACATACATTTTCGATATGTAGATCAAACACAGTGATCTGCCACTTGAACTCAATGGCTATGACCCAGATAGAACCCTATTCACTATAGACTGCACCCTATTACCTATATAGTTCACTACTTTTGACAAGAGCCCTATGGGCCCTGGTCAAATGCAGTGCACTACATAGGGCATAGAGTGCTATTTGAGACCCAAAATATGTCCATTGCTTCTTGGATTACTAAGTAATCTATAAATGATGATTATTTGCCTGTCTTGCAATGCAAGCGAGTGGGCTGAAGAAAAGCTAGCCAGGATCCATAAAGCTGGTTGAAGTCCACTAAAGTGATCAATCAAATCGCTCATAAAATTACTAAATGATTTAGTAGGATTGTCAATGCATTTTGTACAAAAATATCAAGCACAGTGAAAACAGATACTCCATCTCATCTATCAAATAGGCTTATGGTTTGTTTCATTCAACTGCACCTTTAAATGCAAGTGATGAACAAGTGATTATTTATAAGCAAATAATAAATGCTGTCACAGTAAATGCTACAGTATGGGGACTTTAAAAGCCAGAATGCTACAGTATGGGGAATAAAAAGCCAGAATGCTACAGTATGGGGAATAAAAAGCCAGAATGCTACAGTATGGGGAATAAAAAGCCAGAATGCTACAGTATGGGGAATAAAAAGCCAGAATGCTACAGTATGGGGACTTTAAAAGCCAGAATGCTACAGTATGGGGAATAAAAAGCCAGAATGCTACAGTATGGGGAATAAAAAGCCAGAATGCTACAGTATGGGGAATAAAAAGCCAGAATGCTACAGTATGGGGAATAAAAAGCCAGAATGCTACAGTATGGGGAATAAAAAGCCAGAATTCTACAGTATGGGGAATAAAAAGCCAGAATGCTACAGTATGGGGAATAAAAAGCCAGAATGCTACAGTATGGGGAATACAAAGCCAGAATGCCACAGTATGGGGAATAAAAAGCCAGAATGCCACAGTATGGGGACTTTAAAAGCTAGAATGCTACAGTATGGGGACTTTAAAAGCTAGAATGCCACAGTATGGGGACTTTAAAAGCTAGAATGCTACAGTATGGGGACTTTAAAAGCTAGAATGCCACAGTATGGGGACTTTAAAAGCTAGAATGCTACAGTATGGGGACTTTAAAAGCTAGAATGCTACAGTATGGGGACTTTAAAAGCTAGAATGCTACAGTATGGGGACTTTAAAAGCTAGAATGCTACAGTATGGGGACTTTAAAAGCAAGGGCCCGTATTCATAAAGTGTCTCAGAGTAGGAGTGCTGATCTAGGATCAGGTCCACCCCCCCCCACTCTCCATATAATCATATTCATTATGATCTGAAAGGAAACACTGATCCTATATCAGCACTCCCACTCAGAGATACTTTATGAATACGGCCCAGAGGTTTGGTAACATTTGACTGCATCATCTCATCTTACTTATTGACCAATGGAAGAACTGGTCGTTCAGTATTACATCAGGTTCATGACAGTGCATGCTGACACACTGACCAGTAAACCACGACTGCACCAATGGGTTGTTTTTCTGGACAAACAAAATGGCTGACAATAGTTTTCTTTTTTAAGCAAACCAAAATTCTAAAAAGGTCGTTAGTCCATTACATTTCTATGCATATCATACAGTTCCTCTGGTCTTCCTCCGTCTGCCTGTCTGTCTCTCACTGTCCCACTGCCTGCTGTCTGACATTCAGACAGTCTCTCTGGATGTTACTCTTATTTTTACATTTACATTTTAGCCATTTAGCAGACGCTCTTATCCAGAGCGACTTACAGCAGTACATTTTCATACTGGTCCCCCGTGTGAATCGAACCCACAACCCTGGCGTTGCATGTGTCATGCTCTACGAAGTGAGGCACACCTCTCCAGTCCAAGTCCTCCATACTCCCAGACATTCCCTGGCTCCTGTTTAAGATTGAATCCCAAATTGTACCCTATCCTCTATATAGTGCACTAGTAGGGAGGAGGGCCTTCAGTCTCACATGAATCCCCTCAGAGGGAGGTCAGGGTAGGGCCTGCTCTCAGCGGAGGGAGGGGGAGGCTGGTGCGTTGGCTGCCCCGCTGCTGCTGAATGTCCACGGTCTGCCCCCGTAGAGGACCCAGGGTTGGGTACAGGGCCAGGGTCTGCCCCCCTAGAGGACCCAGGGTTGGGTACAGGGCCAGGGTCTGCCCCCCTAGAGGACCCAGGGTTGGGTACAGGGCCAGGGTCTGGGCCAGCCTCCTTCAGGCTCCCGTTCTGGAACTGGAACAGAGGAAATGTCCGACTTCGCTAAGCCTCCTTTTTCTGGTCTAAATTGCCCTTGATGTGTAAATACCCACTGGCTTTCAATGGTCAAATGATAATGACCTTCTATTTCTAAAGTCTAATTCTTGTTAAATCTGATGCGCGAGTATGTATGTGCTGTTGGTATTCAACGATCATATGATGAGCCTATAGCTAGAGGAAGTAAAGCATATAGGCCTAACATTTTATATCATTAGTTCAGGGGCCTGTTCAGTGGGGCACAATGTAGCCAATTATAATTGTTTATTATTAGCGTTCTTACTAGACAAGTTCAGGTAGGACCCGCTTTACGTTTCACAACATTTTACCTGTTTGCTGCCTAATGAACACTACCCAGGTTAGTGTCACCTTTCTTACCTGTGCGGTGAATGGCCGCTCTGCTCTGTTGACCCGGCTGAACCCCACAGCCAGGGGATAGGCGTGCTGAGCCCAGCCCGTGCTGGTGGCCTGAGACTGGGCTTGGCCGTCAGGGAGGTGCCCCTGCTGCTGAAACACACCCAGGGCCTCCACCACACTCCACTGGTGCGCTCCCCTACCATCTTCTATCCCCCGGGGACCAGTGGACTCCAGGCTGCCCAGCAACTCCTCCAAATCCTGGGGCGGGAGCTCTCCGTCCACCCTCTGGCTCTGGAGGCCCGTGGTGGGTACATAGGAGGAGAGCTCCGGGGAGCGGCTAACCGACACAATGTTCAGCTGGTTCCTGTAGTGGAGGCCCAGGCCCAGGGAAGCTTCCCCCAGGCAGAGGTGCCCATGTTGGGGGTGGCTGTGGTGAGTCTGGAGCCCCCCTGGCTGCTCCACGTTGAACAACAGAGGAATCTGCTGCTGCTGCTTGGTGATGTCTTTTTGTCTTTCTGTCATTGAACCCGTCCCAGTCCCATCCACCTGCATGTGCTTCAGTCTGTTACACAGTTGTTGCTGTCGCTGCTGTGGATGGAAGGGCTGTGACTGTGAATATAGCTGGTTGTTTTGCCGCTGTTGGTTTGGCAATACCTGTCCATTTAGATGGATCTGTTGCTGCCGCTGTGGAGGTTGGGACAGCCGGTGCTGCTGCTGTGTTGCCTGCAATGCTTCCTGTGGGCGGGGCTGTGTGTGTAAACACTGCTGTGGTATTGGCTGCTGTGGGTGGGGTGGAGGCTGATAGTGGTGAACTGATAGAGGATGGACTACAGGCAGCTGGGGTGGCCACTGAGGAACTGTAGTAGAATGTGGATGTGGGGTCAGTGGTTGTTCCATAGATGGTTGGTGTAACAGAACTGTAGTAGAATGTGGATGTGGGGTCAGTGGTTGTTCCATAGATGGTTGGTGTAACAGAACTGTAGTAGAATGTGGATGTGGGGTCAGTGGTTGTTTCACAGATGGTTGGTGTAACAGAACTGTAGTAGAATGTGGATGTGGGGTCAGTGGTTGTTCCATAGATGGTTGGTGTAACAGAACTGTAGTAGAATGTGGATGCGTGGCTAGTGGTTGTTCCATAGATGGTTGATGTAACAGCGTGGTTGGGCAGCTATAGTCCTGATCCCCTAACTTAGCCCCCCTGCAGGAGAATACAGTCTGATCCCAGTCTGACCTCTTCCTCAGAGACTCCTGTACGTAGGAGAGAATCTCGTCTGTCAGGTCAGGGAGGAGGCCGTCTCGGCCAGCGTCCAGATCCACATCGAGGAACAACTCATCCTGCTGGAACAGCTCCAGGTCCTCCCTACTGTTGCCCAGGTTCCTCATGAAGCTCCACAAATCCCTGTCTCTGTCAATCAATAAAATCAATACCTTTATAGTCACAATTGGGAAATGTGTAGTGCAGTCATGGTTACATTATTAAAAACAACCACACACATACACCTAAGATAAATAGTAAGAGATCAGTTACCTGTCCTCTGATGAGAAGCCATCGATCCCCCCTCCACCCCCCACCCCCAAGGGCTCCTGCTTGAAGAGGACAGTCTCCGACAGAGAGGGGATGCTGCCCTCCTGCCCGGCTGCTGGAGAAGATGCCCCCACACTCCTCCTGTGGAAGCCCTGCCACCTCCTCCTGGAGTTGGTGCTGGTTCTGAGTCTGAGGGGAGCAGTAGTAGATGGACTTCTCCTGTTTCAGCAGAGAGCCCAGCAGTGAGTCAGGGTCCAGGGTTACGTCCTGGTTGTTGTTGGTGATATTTTCTGTAGGGCAGGTGGTGTCGCCTGCTAAGGAGTCCCCTGTTACCAGGGTCTTGGGGAAGCTGGTGTCGTAGAGAAGGGCCTCCCCAGTGGTGTAACTGAAAGGCAACTGGAGGCTCCGCTTCCTTAGGGTGTCCTCTCCCTCTTCATCCCTAAAAACATTTACATTTTAGTCATTTAGCAGACGCTCTTATCCAGAGTGACTTACAGGAGCAATTAGGGTTTAGTGCCTTGCTGTCTACAGATTGTTCACCTAGTCGGCTCGGGATTCGAACCAGTGACTTTCGGTTACTGGCCCAACGCTCTTAAATGTTAGGCTACCTGCCGCCACAATGAGGCCTCATTAAACAATGAGGTAGTGTATGAAAGAGTGTGTGTGTGTGTGTGTGTGTGTGTACCGAGACGTACGTGAGGACTCTTTGGGATGCGATGATACACTCAGGCCGTCCGTTCTTGTAGACCAGTCTGGCATTAGCCTGCACCCACACCCAGCCTGTCAGCTTGGTCAGCAGCCTGAACACTGTCATCCCACTCTCTCCAGTCTTTATCACTGGGCAGGGAAACACACAGACACACACATTAACGAAGTTAGACAGCAGAAATGTGTATGGGACACATTGATGCAGTTTCTAATAAACTAAAAACATCACCAAAAGTTACGAGGGATGTGGTATATGGTTAAAAAAAAAAAAAAAAACGTTTCTGTGAAATATAAGAAAAATTCATAACGTTTCACGTGAATTCACAATGCAGCTGCGCTGCTGCCAGCAACGGTTTGGGTCTCACGGTGCGTCCTTTTAAGACGGTTAAGCATTGCACCTGTACTACCATTACTGTACCTTAATTCCACCTCGCAAAGTTTGCATTTCCTTCTCATTTAACGAGACTTCGCTGCTGTCCCTTGCCTTTCTCTGCCATTTTTCCAAAGTTAACGACAATGACGTAGTGGTGGAGAGTCGACTCCAAAATAATTGATTCCTCGACTCCTTGCATGTCGACTCCAGGTGTCGACTCCTGTTTCTGAGTGTTAAGAATCGACCCCTAAGATTCAGTATTTTTGGAACGGAGGAGAATGATTAGTTGCCATACTTCCGAGAACACAAACACTCGCATCTTTAATAGAGAGCTAGCGAGGGCCGGAGAGAGAGAGGAGGGTCACGGTATAGACAGGTCGGCCACCAGGCAGACAGAGTCAGAACCATGCACTAGGCCTATCTATCGGCAATCAAAAGCTGTATCTCGCAATGGAATGCTGTATCTTGCAATTTCTTGGCTTGCAATGTTTCGTAATCATCAATGAATAGGCTAGGATATTCTACACGCAACAGACCGAAGACTGAACACACACTCGCATCATTAGCAACGAGAAAGAGCATGCGAGCCAGCGCGAGGGGGAGAGGGGCAGGCAGAAAGAAAGTATTGCCTCGTCTTGCATGCCTCGCAAATTCACCAAATTAAAGTTTTATTTAAATTACACAACTTTCCCCAGGCCTTTATAGCCTACCGCCTAGTTAGTCTATAACACGAAAAATAATGTTTTAACTGCACTGTGAATTTAGCAAAAAAAACATTGTTTTTCGGTTAGTGAGCCCAACTTTGTATAAAGTTTCATGTTTAAACGTTCACACCTCTGCTTGTCACTTAAAGTCACTAATTCAAATGTCTATCAAAATTGCCTTTAGGGATTAATAAAGTACTATCTTATTTTATCATCTTATCTTAAAACACCATTCATTTTTTAGAAGTTGTAGGAATGAATCTGTTCAGACAGTCCCCTCAGGACACTGGCTGTAGAATGAACCACTATGTGCAACTCAACATACAGTACAGTATGCGTTTGCAATGTGACCCTCACGTTTTTGATCCCATTGTCAGTCACTATGGACAACACTACATGATAGGACTGTGTGCAACAGGAGATCAGTCTTACTCCTCATGTGGTTCTCAGCGCAGTGCAGCATGTCAGCAGCATGGATGAACTGGTATCCTGAGCCACGGTTGCAGAGCTCTGCCTCAGTGTAGCCCAGCACTATCTTCCCTCTGTATGGGAGGACAGGACAAAAACAGGAAGCACAATGAAAACCTGATCAAAACATGTCTCTTCCCTACTTCTGAATAGATAACACTTGTGATCTAACCGCATAATCTCAAATCTATCACTGGTGCTGATAGTTTCTCAATGTATAAATGATTTGATTTATTAGGTTTATTTGACAGGGACCACGTACAATTAAAACATACATCTCACAAGAAATGTGATGCATTGTACTAGATTTAGCTAAATAGCTAGTTCACAACTCCAGTCCCCGAGCAGGTGAACATTACAATTATTCAGCATTCAGACAGCAAGCTTTGAATTCAATGTAAAATATTGTAGTGAAGTGGTTATGTTCCCTATGTGTTGAAGGGGCTTAGTAGCAGTAAGGCCCACTGGACAGTGTTAGTGTTATTGTCACTCACTTGGCATCGCAGGCAGTGGGGGTGAAGTCCAGCTTGTGCTTGGTCTTGAAGATGAAGTTCTTGGTGCGGATCTCCAGGATGGTGGGGGTCTGTAGGGGCGAGGCCAGAGCGAACAGGGCCAGCTGAGGGGGGATGGCCTTGCCCTCCTTGGTCCTCTCGCTCTGGCCATGGAGGAACTTTAGACGCCCCTGGATGTTCAGGGCCTGGAGAACGCAGAAAAGCCCTTAAACATAGTCAGGACTGCATCCCAAATGGCACCCTATTCCACCCTGATGCCGGTCGATTAAGACCGAAACATTAGTTAAATAAGATCCCAATAAATTGTTGGAAGAAGCATCAAGATTATCAGTGAGCTGGAGTTCTTTTTATTGAGTAAACTTTTTTTGTCCATGCACCTGAGAGCACCTTAAAAAGGGAAATATCACAAGTGTTCAACTTCATATTCATCATCTCCAGCACCACCCCAAAATCAACATATGTGAAAATTACACGTTTCTATGTTTTGTAGTGAAAATGATTGAGGGAGATAAGTGTTTCCAATGACATCGGTGTGTATAGTGTGATTTTAACCAATGATAAGGAGGCATTACCTACTAATTGCCTCCAAATTGTCTACGAATTGGTTGATAAGGTCATTGGAAACACATCTTCCTCAGTCTTTTTTACTACAGAACATAGAAAGGTGCCATTTTCACATATGTTGATGTTGGGGTGGTGCTGGAGATGATAAATATGTTTTTTAACGTTCCTTTAAAAAGGTATGTAAGTGCAAGTTTACTTTCTAAAATGTACATTGACATTTTAGTCATTTAGCAGACGCTCTTATCCAGAGCGACTTACAGTTAGTGAGTGCATACATTTTCATACTGGTCCCCCGTGGGAATCGAACCCACAACCCTGGCGTTGCAAGCGCCATGCTCTACCAACTGAGCTACACGGGACTTTGTAAATCAAAGTAACACATTGCCAATGAAACGCTCCATGATAAGACTGAAATAAGAACTCAATGGGTCTTTCTGATTAGGCCCCATAAAAAATAAATCCTAAAAATTCAGTTTCCCCCTGAACGGAATCTGACACTGATTTGATTTGTCCTCAGGTCATCCAACACAGGTGTTCTTTTTCTGCAGAGTTGAAGAGTTCAGAGGGAGAATGAAGGCTAGCCAGAGGACCAAGGCAGAGTTCTCCACTTCATTTCCCATATTAGATTTGAGAAATCAGTCAGCATGACTTGTAAGGGAATTCTTCAGCTCTGTAACAATCAGCCCACTCAGAAAAACTCAAACACTATCTATATTCTAAGAAAATCTAGAAAATGTCCATGAAATCTAACTAGATTTTCAAATAGATTTCTAGGAAAATGTCCATAAAATCTAGTTAATATTTTCAAATCTAGCCTAGTTAAAACACCAAATGGTCATTGGTCAAATGGGCAAAGACAATTTCATTTTAACTACAATATTGAGTATTCATGTAATAAGAAAACACAATTTCCAATTCCAGCTAAATCTAATCATTCAGTGTTTATAACTTGACATTCACAAAACTAGAGAAAAGTAAAAACATTACAAAAAGTAGACAATATTTTTGTGTTCTCAAAGTTTGACTGCAAACGCTATCTGTAGGATAATTTCCTAGTCTGGAT